GAGCTGTGCCAACACAAAGGACTAAATAATCAAGCATTCTAATACCTCTCTTCAAAAAGGGAGACAAATCGGACCCGGAAAATTACAGGGGAATTAATTTCTTCACACAAAAAACACAACACTAAAATTCACAATCAAGGTGGTAACAAATGAACTGAATGAAATTATAACACTAGCAGAAGAACAACAAGGTTTTAGATCCGAAAGATCATGCACTGATGCTATATTTATAATGAGGCACGTGCAAGAGAAATCATTAGAATACAATAAACCGGCATATCCATGTTTCGTGGACCTTAAAAAGACATTTAAGCGGGTCAAATTAAAGGACGTTATCCACTTATTGTACGCAAGAGAGATACCTCTAGGAATAATCAAAACGATTGAAAATATCTACCAAAACAACACAATCAAAGTAAAAGTAGATGAAGAACTAACCGACCCTGTTGAAGCTGGCAATGGGGTAAGACAGGGAGATTCATTGAGTCCTCTATTGTTCAGCCTGATTATAGATGAAATAATAAAACAAGTAAGAACTAAAAAAGGATACCAAATGGGAGGAAAACATACAATAATCTGCTATGCAGACGACGCAACTTATGCTTCATCAATTTAATATATTTTATTAATTCATTTCATGTTAATTTTATTATTTGTGAAATTATTTCCACTCAGTGGAAATTGAAACGTCAATAAACTTACTTTAACCTTCAATTATGGCTTATGCCCACTAAAATAGTAATTACTTTAAAATGCCACAAGAAAATAGCTCCAGAACAATAAATATTATATGGAGACATAAAAATATCGTGAAAGAAATGAAAGGCGGAATTTACAAAACAGTCATCAGACCAATAATGACATACGCGGCAGAAAAACGACCTGACACAGAGAGGACAAAAAGACTGGTAAAAACAACAGAGATGAAAACAATGAGATAAATTTATGGTAAGAAACTATGGGACAGAGCTAGAGGTACAGCTATAGGACGTAGATGCAAGGTGGAGAACATCAAGAACTGAGTAAGAAATAGATGAGTAGAATTGAACAATCATATAAGCCGAATGACAACAAACAGAGTAGTAAAGACGGCAAGAGACGCTTCCCCAATAGGAAGACGATAAGTAGCAAGACCACGAAAACGATATAACGACAACTTACTGGAGGCATAGTGAAAAACAGACATTAGGTATTTCAATATGCCTCCTGTTCAAATGATCGAAAGTTTTACAATAAGCCAATCGGAGCACTATTAAATTTAGCAACAGATGCTACAACCAATATTACCTTTTTATCGACCAATATTCTGAATTCATGACATTGTAATAATCTTCCGTTTTGGAGCTAAATTTAAAAATAAAAAGCCTCAAAAGTCCACTGCCGAACATCTCTGCCTCTTCCTCGTGTTTCCAAGCCCGTCTATCTTGCGCCATTCTCACCCAGTTTTTATTTTTTTCTTAAATTGTCAGCCCTATGCATTTCTGCTCCGTATGTCCACACTAGGAGGACGCATTGATCAAAAACTTTTCTCTTCGGGCATGTGGCAGCTTAGTTTTAAAAGTTCTCGGGTTTCCATATGTTGCCGACCGAAGACCGATTCTTTTCTTCAGTTCATCGGTCTAATTATCCCTGCTACTAACAATTTCATGTCGTAAGTATTTATATTTATCTGTGAGTTCTACTTCTTGCTCACCAATACTGAAGTTCCGTTTGGGTACCAAATTTGTCATTATTTTTGTTTTCAAGATTTTAATACTTTTAATACTTTAATATTTCTCTTTACATAGAGAGACTATAACAGCCACTATAACACAGATAACATAGGATATTAACTCGATCACAAAACAAGGATAAAAATAGGAACCGAACTAACGGAGGAAGTCAACATTCAATCAGGTATAAGACAGGGTGATAGCTTGAGCCCGTTATTGTTTAACTTTATAATGGACAAACTAATAGAAGAAGTAAAAGAATCAGGAAAAGGGTACAAAATGCAGGAACAGAGCCACACTATCAAATAATGAAGATGACCTACAACGAATGGTCCACGCCTTGGAAGCTACCGCAGAAAAGTTTAACCTAAAAAATATCAGTAATAAGTCCCTCGTTATTGCTAGGGAGCCGGTAAGATGCAAAGTTCTAATAAATGAAGAACTGATAGAACATGAATCGAAATTCAACTATCTGGAAATGCAAATATCGTATTATGGAAACATCTTCGAAGGACTCCGCGTACATACGTGTAACAGTAGTATAGTAGTAGTAGTAATAAAGCAGCATACGTGTCAGGATGCGTACGAGACGTGATATGGAGAAATAAAACATGAGGATAGAAGGAAAAACACGCATATATAAGATTCGTGTACGACCGATATTAACCTATGCTAGAGAAACAAGAGCAGAAACAACAACAAGAAAATCTTAAGAACTACAGATATGAAAATACTGAAATCGATAGCAGGTAAAACTTTAATAGACACAATCACTAATATACAAGTCAGAGACATGTGTAAAGTACATTATATCATCAGATCGGGATGCCAAATAAGATGAGAATGGAACCAACACATTAACAGAATGTAAAAAGAGAGACTTGCCTAAATAGTAAGAGATGGAAAACCAGAAGGTAAAAGACCACAAGGCAGACCTAAAATATGAAGAGATAGCTGGCATTTAGCATCGCAAATACTGCTAAATCAGACCGGAAACAACAGGTATTATAAACTAAAATACAAAGAAGAATTTTATTTATTATTTTACTGCATATTTAATAACATTTTGTTTGTTTAATAATCACTAGCTTCACTCACATGTTATTTAATATGTGATTATTTTCTATAAATACGTTTTGTATTTTTTATACTCAATTCCTTTAGTTTTCTAGGTCAGTTTGGTTTGTTTATTTCTGCAAGTAACTGTCTCTATTATATACAAATAATTCTAATATGCCCTTATATTTAGTTTGCTTCTGTAATCTGTGATCTCTCGTATTTTTTTTTAATTTTAGGTTCTAGATAAAGAGATTGTTTGTTCTCGAAGGTCTTTTTATACTCTGACCTGAAATACATTTTGTTGATGGCTTTGGGATAAGTTTTTAGCACCTGCTACTAAGCCTCTTTTTGGTCAAGGTCTTGCTTCAATAAGTAATTAAATTTTCTTGCTAGGCCGCTTATGCTAGATATTTTAAACTTTTTCAGTCTTTGTAGTAGTTCCTATTTACCTTCGGAATTGTGGCCTATAACGGAATAAATTTTCGCAGTTTCCGAATGACATAAGCTTGGTTTGTTGGTTTCTGGTTAATTCCTATTCCACGAGAAGCTGTGGAATGGATGGTCATTCGTGGCAAACTCCCACATGCTGGAAGAAGGCTAACCATACCTGGGTGTCAGGCGATAACCGAATGGCTAAGAGTTGATTATTCAGAGCCCAAAATTGTATGGACCAATGCGCTTATGATGTGATTCTGCCAAAAGAAAAAACAGTACATTAGACAACGAGGTCGGGTATATTGCAGAGTGCTGTTCTGATAGACTCGATGTCATACTCAAGGTCTTAAGCGATAGAACAAAAAGAGAAATCATACGATTTCTACCTGTCGAAATTGAAATCATGGAGTAGTAACAATACCGTACTGAGGAGATCTAAAGAGATCGAAATACGTATATGCGGCTTGTTGCTGCTCTGTATCAAATCAAAATATAATACCGTCATTTTGTTCTGTCTTAAGCGATAGCATTATAAAGGTCAATTCAGACACATCAGTCCCGTCATAGTCTCGGCGCCGAACAGGTCCTGTTTGGTCATAGAACTATCAACTATCTGACAGCTGGGAAACTGTTTGTCAACTGATGAGTGTGAATGCCGGCAACATATTTGTATTAAAGAATATTTTGTATGACGGATTGTTTGGTTCGGCGCAATCACTCTGACGAGACGTGACTGATGTGTCTGAATTGACCTGTAGTCTATTTTTATTTTGAAGTAAATGTCAGCCATTTTTTGTTTAGTTTTTTAAGTCGGTTTTACCTTATGATAAGAAACGTTGTTAAAATAAAAAAAAAAACGAAAAAATCATACAATAAAAATGGTTTTGAAAATAGTTTATATATTGATTAAAGAAATTGTAATATAGGTACATATACCGTACGTCACATAACCTTAACATGATTACTAAATTATTATTGTTGATTGGTATTAATTAACTTCATTTTCATTTTGAACTTAAGAAATTGAAATTGTAATTATTAAAAATGGCCTACGCCCCGTTTATTTCAGAAAACTAATGTCCAAACTTATCAAAAATTAACATTACACAAAAAAAACTTACTTTTCAATTCGATATCACTGACAAAATTATTTGATGAACCCTGGTATATACGGAAAAGATGCTTGAAATAATATGAATATAATTAGAGTCGGCAACACTGCAGCTGTCATGTTGACGAGATCGGTTTCACCCGAAAATTAAATTATGACTGCCTATTAAACAGAAATTTTGTTATTTGTAATTTATAGTTTGTTTTTGATTTATAAATCATTAAATTAATATTGACATGAACTGTGGAAATACATTATATTTATCTAAACTATAAGTACTACTAAAAATAGATATGTCAAAACTAAACATGTATTAGATTAGAAGTTTAAAACTATTACCTAAGAAACTATTTTATAGGTTATCAAAATTATACATTTCCGGATAAAATGAAAAGACTAAGACAATGCTAAACGGTAAACATATTATGTTTATGGATGTATTGTTGGTTTGTTTACTTTCATATGAATAATTTGTTAGATTGTATACATTTTTATGTGTAAATTAACACTTCGTATTAACCGTCAACAGGTGGTGTTAACACTCACGTGGTGTCTATTGATGAACAGAAAATTCAAATCCACAAGGAAACTAAGTTCCTGTAGCTGGCTGTATAACATGTATCACAAAAAATTATTAAAATACCTTTAATAAAGGATTATAAGAATATATTAAACTTACCTACCAAAAAAGAATTCCCTTTTTAGGAAAATCTGGATAACTTGCTAAATTTGCACGTAGCAATTCAAGTTTCGATTTTTTATCCATGGTATTATACTGTTTAATTTATAACGGAACTCAATTAATTTAAAATTCTTCCAGGAATTTATTATATACTCAATTTTATAGATACTATTGTTGAACCTTGACCTGTCATACTAGTTCATGTTGATTACACTTTGACAATGTGCGGTACGGATACGACACTTGGCAGCCCAACTTTCATTATATTTTTATTTGTTCACGTGTTTTATATTTGATAGCATCTGTAGATACCGGTTGAATTATCAACCTAAGTGGGTCTGCGCTGCGTTTGAATGAAACAGTTCCTATGTTGCATGAAAGATATAATGTTGTACCGTCATTACCATCAAAGAAAGGGGATCTACTATACCAGGTGAAAACAAAAAATTAATATTTTTAGAGGTTTCAGAAATATTTTAAAATCAGTTTAAAAAAGGTTTATGAAAGGTATTGTACTAAAAAACTAATTTTTAACGATATGAAATACAATAATTAAGCCAGTCCGTTATGAAGGAAGTTATTTATGTACCTACCTGATATTGGAGAACATAAAAAACTAAATAATTAAGATTAATAAAGAGTAGGGGAGACCGAGAACGGTTTGAAAACTTTTTTATCGTTACATTGCATGTTTACAATCTACTCTATATATCGAGTAATAAGTAAATAGTCTGTAAGTAAATTAATATAGTTAGGTACCGTTCAGTGACGGTTCTCTAAGTATTATTTGGTATTATTGCGGTAGGTCTTCTGGCCATACCACAGAATAATAAACAATCAGAATGCCCACTCTCCATGGAAAATTAAGTACGCGTATCTCGTTCGCGCACAGACGTTCCGCCATGTTTTAGAGGGAACCACTGTTGTTTATGTCAATTTAGTTATGTCAAATTTACGGCAATCATAGACATAGTATACAATTATATTAACATTGTTAAATATAATAACATAAATAATAATATAATTAAACATAAATATAAACAATTACATAACCTCACAAATCATATGTCTGTGTTATGTGTTTCCTTCTAAAACATGGTGCACGTGCTGAAAAACTTCAAAGGCGGCATCTGAGAGTGGACTTCTGATTGTTTATTATTCTGTGGCCATACCCTCTTTAATCTTCTTTCGGCAAGTGGTTGGGTGAATAAGTTGTTTATCAGTTCGTTGTTGTGATTTATCGAATGATTCTTTGTTATGTCCTTAAGTATTGGGATGTCCAGATCATTGTGAAGTATTTGGTTAGAAACATACCATGGAGCTTTACCTACTTATCATACGGAGTATTTTGGATTGGAATGTTTGAAGTATCTTCGTATTTGAAGGTTTACCAGTGGCGCACCCGGGGGCGATTTGGAGGTTAAAACCACCCAAGGCACTAGTCCGACACTGTTACTAACAAATTTTAAGTACTTAAAATGGTGGAGGTAGCATAAAAATATCGGTGCCCAACCAAAACCACCCAGAACCCCCGGTCCATGCTCATTTAGAGCATGTGCAAAGATGTTCTCTGAGTACAAGTTGAATATTAATGGTGATTGTATACAACCTTGTCTAACTCTTCTTTGGATGTTTATGGTTTCAGTACTGTAATATCCTGGTAAACCTGCCAGGGTATAAGGATAAATAAATAAGTATGTTTTATTCCAGGCCGTTTATTGTGATACTTTGTCTGACACCCTCATGTTGACTGCCCTAACATGACAGGTGATGTCACCACGAGGCTCCTGTCATGTTGGTTGCCTAACAATGGCACCAAATATATTACATCCTCCCTCTTATAAATTTAAGGGTTCAGGGGGTTTTACAGAGCGACCCGACCTAGTAGTTTTAAGCGATGGTTCATAGACTGGCTCCACAAAAGGCAATCCATGAACACTATCTCTTTGGTTTCTACAGGACTCTCTTTGCTTAGTGGGCAAGATATTCACTTCACACTGGGGCGGGTCACTTGAATCAGGATTGAACAGACTACATTGTATATTATCATGTCCAGAAGCTGTTTTGAACACATTTAATGATTCTCTTAAATCTACTCTGTTGCGTCTGACTGTGTCTCCATTTTCATTTAAAACCATATAAGACCTTGGTGTCCCATGTTGGCTAACTATTTGACCTGGTTCCCACTTCTTCTGAACATGATTGTATACTGTAACATCAGTATTATTTGGTAACGGTGGTAATTCTTTGGCACTTCTATTATAATACTTATTATATGTATCGCGCCTATGTTGCAGCTTCTCAAGCACATTTTCACATAACTTAGGTTGCAATAACTCTGAACTAATAGGTATTTTAGTTTTACAAATCCGGCTCATTAACAATTGAGACGGGGAGTAACCAATATGCTTGAGAGGTGTATTACGGTATTGCAGCAATGAGATTTCAATATCACTTTCTTTTACTGATTTCTTAATTATATTTTTTGCTATTCCTACTCCTTTCTCAGCGAGGCCATTGGAGCGTGGATAATTCGGGCTTCTAGTGATGATTTTGAAATTCCATTCTCTCGCAAAATTTTTACAATACAAACTATCAAATGGTATATTATCACATGTTATACAATCTGGTGAACCAAACACAGAGAACACTCTTCCTAATACCCCAATAACAGCTTTGGAAGATTTATTCTTTATCAAATGCAGATCCAACCAATTTGAAAATGAATCAAATATAACTAGGTAGCTATTTCCAGCATATGTAAAAATATCTAGGCCTAGGCGTTCCCAAGGGCGCTCAGCAATTGGGTACAGTTGCATGGTTTACTTCTGTTGCTTGTGTGCATTCGACTCACATGTTCTGCATGCATTGATGTGATGTTCAATGTCAGAATTAATACCTGGCCAATATAATATCTGTCTCGCACGAGCTTTGCTTTTTTCAATGCCAATGTGACCCTCATGCAGCAATTTCAACATTTCTAAACGCAGTGACTGGGGCACTATGACTTTATCAGACATCAATAATAGTCCATCTATAGAGATAAGGCTCTCTTTCACTTTGAAATAATGTCGTATCGACTCTGGTACTTCCTGTTTGCTCTCTGGCCATCCATTAATGCAGAACTCAATTACTGCTTTTAGATGTTCATCTTTCTGTGTCTCATTTGCAAACTGTACTTTCCTTTCTTCAGACATGGGTATATTTTTGACTACTGCATGCACCGCATATTCAAATTCATTGTCACTTTTGAATCCTTTTTCTGAGAGGAATGCACGAGAAAGTGTATCCGCAATATATAAATATTTTCCAGGTCTGTATGAGACCATTAAATCATAGTCAAGCAATCTTAAACGCATTCTTTGTAATCTTGGAGATATCCGTGCTAAATCCTTTTTAAATATGACTTCTAGTGGTTTGTGATCAGAGTGAACTTTGACCTTCTGTCCGTATACAAAATAATGAAATTTTTGAATGGCAAAGACAATCGCTAGCATTTCTTTTTCAATTTGAGCATATTTTTGCTCTGTTTTAGATAAGCTTCTAGATGCAAATGCCACTGGATGCCCATCTTGCAACAAACATGCACCCAGTCCATCCTTTGAAGCAACAGTTTCAATTTCAATTTCTTTTTTAGAGTTAAAATATTTCAGTACTGGTGATGTCGTCAATAAGTGTTTAAGCTGGAACAGAGACTGTTCATGGGTGTTATCCCATTCCCATGTAACATCAAGCCTTGTGAGATCACGTAATGGGGCTGTTACCTTTGACATGTTGGGCACAAACTTACCCAAGTACTTCGCCATGCCTAAAATTCTCAATAAGCCTTTTTTGTCACTAGGCCTAGGCAATTCTGAAATTGCTCTAACATAGTTTTTTGTGGATTCAACTCCACTTTTTGAATAAATTTGTCCCAAAAACTTTACTGATTTTAGTTTTAATTGAACTTTAGAGCTATTAAATTTAATATTGTATTCTAGTGCTCGTTCTAGGACCAATTTTACGTTCTGATCATGCTCTTGTTTATTTGAGCCTGTCACAATAAGATCATCGAAGTACAGTCCCACTCCATCTAAATCTCCAAATATTTCAAAGTTTTTCCTCTGAAAAACTTCTGGTGCTGAGCAAATCCCAAACGGTAATCTAAGAAATCGGTACCGCCCGAATGGGGTTCCAAAAGCAGTGTAATCAGCACTTTGACCATCTAACCTGACTTGAAAATAGCCATCTTTCATATCTAAGACAGTGAAGTATTCTTTGTCACACAACTTGACTGCAATTTCTTTCGCTGTAGGTATTAAAAAGTGTTCTCGTTGTATCGCATTATTTAAACGTTGAGGATCCAGACACAACCTTAAATCGCCATTTTTCTTTTCAACTATTACTAATGGGTTCAGCCACTCAGTTGGTTTTTCTATTTTTTCAATGACACCTTGATCTTCAAGTTGTTTTAATTTATGTCTGAGTCAATCATAAAGTGATATAGGTACCCTCCTGGGGGGCTGAACATACGGTTTAGCATTGCTTATTAAGGTTATGTGGTACTCAGTAGGAAATTCTCCTAAACCATCAAAAACTGAATTATACTGCTTTTTTACGTTATCTAATGAACTAAAAACAACATCCACACCCTGTCCTACATGAGCTAACCGTTCTATTAATTTTAATTCTAAACACCCTTGTAGCCCTAATAAGGGTACTTGGTTATCTAAATCAACAACAATAAATTTAATAACACTTTCACGCTTATTAGCTTTGCATAATAACTTAATCTCTCCACAAGGTTAAATTTTGAAATCTGGACTACCATAAGATAACAGGGTTACTGATGTTCTCTTTAGTTTATTATCTAATTTCAGGTTTTTTAAAACATAATATGGCAAAACACTTACTTCAGCACCTGTATCTAGTTTAAATTCTACATGACTGCGTCCTATGTTTATCTTTTGCTTCCAAACACTTTCACTTTTTCTACATGTTGAATCTACTGAATCTATTACATTTATTGAACTTAGGAAATGTACATCACATACACTATCACTATCTTCTTCCTCTACCACGTGCACATTTTTTTGTTTCCAGCTTCTACTCTTTTCTTTCTTCTTTTCATCATGTTTACATACTGCAGCAAAGTGATTTAGCTTTTGGCATTTGGCACAACTTTTACCAGTGGCTGGGCAATTTGCATTTTTCTTGTGTTTGTATCCACATCTA